AAGATAAACAGGATGGTCCATTAGAAGCTGCAGAAAGATCGATTTCATCAGGCCCAGAGGAGAGATGTGGTCCACCGGAAGTGGCAGGAAGATTGGGGCCGGTGGGATGGGACTGCTCGAGGGGTCCGTGGCGACCAGCATGGAGGAGGGATCCCTCGGGGTTTTCAGAGTGTCCCAGACCAATGCGGAAGGCGGAACCCTCACGCCCAGTGGGAATATATAGTCAGTGGGAAGCAGCAGAAACATTGGGATCAACAGGATGGGGCTGCTCGAGGGGTCGGCAGGAAGGTCAGCAGTATGGCCCATTAGCAGGTAGAGGGAGTTCTGCAGGATGGGGCCATGCGAGGGGTGGTAGATGGGCAGGGAGAAAACCCTGGAGAGGCAGGGGCAGGAATATAGACCGTAAAGGGCTGTTTCCTCTGGGTTGTCGGGGAACATCCATTTGGAGAAACGAGGAGACGACATTTACCAGGGATGAATGGGAAGTGAATGAGCCACTACAGAAGGATGAGGCTACAGCTCTGAGGTCCATATATGGGGAAGACTTTTCAGTCATAAGGACGGGAGACGATGGCGAATGTGCAGAACACTTTGAGGTGATGATCCATGTAGCAATACCTGAGGGTGGCTTATGCCTTGTCACTGAATTCCCTGGTCCTCCATCGGCAACCGGGTCTTCATCATCCGCGCTTTCCTCAGAGTCCTTGCCCTCGAAAAGCACACCATTTCCATCGAAAAGTGCACGGGATGAGGACACAGCTACTCTCTCGTTAGGTACTGCTGATGAGAATACTGGCACCAGCTGTCAAGGACCCCTTATTCGGGCAGCTGATGGTGTGGGAAGCAGAATTGTTGACTCTTCCACTGAGGGATGCCAGAATTTGGAGGATAAAGAGGGAAGAACTTGGGCTGACAGTAGTTCTGTGCGGTCTTGTGGCGGAGCAGATGCATCATCCTCTTCGAGCGTACATGAGCAACATGTAATCATGGACAGTTCACATCTTCCCGAGACCTACAGAAAGACTTTCCCATTGGAGCACCTGCCGCCATTGCGGCTGTTCTTCACACTATCAAGATCGTATCCTTCAAGGAGTGCTCCGTCCTTCACCCTTTCCTGCAGTTGGTTGGATGATGATCAACTCTCCCGGCTCTGCAAGGAGTTGGACAAGATATGGATCGGGAGAGTGGGAGAGGTCACTGTTTTCGAGTGGGTGTCGTGGATCGAGCGAGAGTGCCTCTCTTTTCTCGGGTTAGCGGAGGCTATTGTGTTGCGGCCACGTAAGGAAGTCCCGAACAAAGACGAACGCGCGAAAGCAGAGTGTGGAATCTTAGAACGAGACGTTGCGAAGCTTCTCACGTATAACGAGGAACGCAAGCTGGACACATTTCGAAGGGGACTGCAACAGTGTGACATCTGTTATAAAGAACACCCAGGCACCGACTTCCTGAGGCTCTCATGTGGTCATTTCTTCTGCTGGGCTTGCATGCGACAGTATGCAACTGCGCTTGTCGATGAGGGAATGGTCACCAGGCTCCTATGCCCAGGGTGCAAAGAATCCATACCTTATCCCATCATCAAGGAGCTGCTTGATGAGAGACATTTCAGGAGATGGGAGGAGGTTCTACTTCAAAGGACACTGGATTCTATGGAAGACTTGGTTTATTGTCCGCGTTGTGGCACAGCTTGTCTGGAGGCGGACGATCATCTGGCGCAGTGCCAAAACTGCTTCTTCAGTTTCTGTGGTCTGTGCAAGGGGCCGTGGCATTGGGCAAATCCGTGCTCATCGCCAACATCCAAGTTGGCAGTACTTCAAGCAACGACGAGAGGCAAGCAGGCGTCGGAGGACCAGTTAAGGAAACAGCAAGCGCAAGTCAATGAGCAGCTGAACCTCAAGTATCTGCAGGAGGCGGCAAAGAAATGCCCGACGTGCAAGATGGCCATTGAGAAGCTAGAAGGGTGCAACAAGATGACCTGCACCAACTGCAGAAGCTGCTTCTGCTATCGGTGTGGGAAGAAGATTAATGGATACGAGCACTTCAGAGAACAGTGCATACTTTTCGATATTCCTCAGGGTGTGTTTTTTGATAATCCTCCAGGTGTACTTGTTGATATTCCTCGAAATGTGCAATTGGAATATGGCAGACAGTTAATGAATGCCTGGTAAGATAAACTGGCGGTCCTCATGGAGGAGCATGTTGATCCACAACAGGCTCTTGAAACATTTTCAACTATGTACCTGTCTCTTATACACATCTAGATGTGTATAAGAGACAGGAATCCAAGTACAATAAATCTACTCCATCACCACGGTACTATGACGTACATCATGGGAGAACACCGAGGTTTCCATCCCGATCATTGCGGTATTTTTTCGTCGTTTCTTCATTTTGATCATTCCTACGACCCTTGGTTACTCCTCCCTCTCCTCTGCCCTTCCTCCTCCCTTCTTGCACCTTACTCCATTCTCCTCCCCCTCCATTCCCATCCAACTGAATATGTGGATGGACCGCAAGGCTGGGGCTGTGTACTAGAGGGAAGAATGTCCAAAACAGATGTTCTTGTCATCATCAACTACACTATACAGCTAGTTTCTTTGTCGAAACTGAGTCCCGCCACAGTCCCACCGGAGTCCCGCCAGACTCCAGACCCTTCTGATGAACAAAGTGGAACAGACCCAAGGGAAAAGAGCTTGCTTAACAGAACCAGCACACACCACCAGGCAGAGAGAGAGGAATGGGNNNNGAGAGAGAGAGAGAGAGAGAGAGAGAGAGAGAGAGAGAGAGAGAGAGAGAGAGAGAGAGACAGACAGACAGACAGACAGACAGGCAGACAGACAGACAGCGAAGACAGAGACAGAGACAGAGACAGAGAAAGAGACAGATAGACAGACAGACAGGAAGGGTTGCGGGGCTCAGTGAGAGAGTCGGAGAGCGAAAGGGGCGGGTTTGGCGGATGAGGATGGGCTTGATGCCCTTTCTCTGTTTACATCACTTGGCAGACATTGGCCAGTGATTTTGCTGGCCGCATGGGGATTGCGCTGGCTGCGCGTCAGTGGAATGGCGGGTTCCAAGGAGACTGAAGGAGCTGGGACAAGAGAGGGAGAAAGATGGGTTGGGTCGATGGATGGGAGAAGGAGAGAGTTTTCTTTTTGTGCGTTTTTTGTTCCTTTTTAGGGATGGATGGATGGTGGGGGGGGGGGATGGCGAGATGGGAGGGAGGGAGGGATGACGAGAGAGAGGGGGGGAGAGAGAGAGAGAGGGGGAGAGAGAGAGAGAGAGAGAGAGAGAGAGAGAGATGGTCTGATCGTTGCCGGAATATTGATAGAATTGACAAGCTTTGCTCGAAAGCAGCAGCACAGCACAAGTTGGAGAAACGCGGACAAGAATCCAAAGATAGAGGGTGACCGCCTGATTTATGGTTCCCAGGTGTACTTTCCATCTCCTTGTAGACACGAGATGTGCGGTGCTGAACATAATTTTTCATTTCTGAGCACCTAATGTATATAGTCTTGAACCATAGAGTGTCTATTTCCCAGGGAGGAGGCCTGGGGTTATAGCTCCTATGGAGACTTTGTATTTGCTGCCACGGGTTTGAGGTACAATGCCTTGCAAAGCTTCCGTTTCCCAGCGCCAGTCTGGATGTATTGTAGACAATTGGACCCTATTTGGTCTGCTACATTTGGTTTAATCAAAAGATTGGACCCGAATCGAAATATGTCATCACCTTGAAGTGAAAGCTGGCAAATCTGTTTCCACATGAATCCTCCCTTATTTTTGTTGATGTACTTGGAGTAACAATAAGGAGCTTGAATCGTGAGGGTTGGTAATTTAAAAATTAAAAGGGGATGAAATTTGAAAGGTGTTGGATAATTCATGTCAGACAAATGTTGAAAAAAACTTAAAAAAAGAAAAGAAAAAGCGAAGGGTTCCATTTTTTTTTTTTTTTTTTTTTTTTTTTTTTCAATAGCTCCATCTATTGGTGGGGAGCAGCACCTGCTGGAAACCGGGTCCAGCGTCCCATAGATACAACCATTTCCTCTTAAGTTGGCACAAACTGGGAACCGGGCCCAGCGTCCCATAACGAGTACGTTCAGAAAAATTCATCAGGGTTCTAACTTCTGAGAGTATGTATTACAAAGGATGTGTCGAGGGACAAGCACAGGCCGAAGTCACGAGTAACTACGTCCTGGCCACAGTTAGGTGGGTTGCGATCTCTATCAATGGAAGGTACGAGGGTCTACCTACCGTCTTCCCCCGAACATAACGCACCCTCATCAAGATTGTACCGGAAAGAAGAAGAAGAAGAAGAAGAAGAAGAAGAAGGATTGTACCGAGTGTGAGAGAGAGCTTGTATGCATTCATGATGAGGGTGCATCGTCTTCGGGGGAAGACAGTAGTATGAAGGAAGTTCAAGGAACGTACCAAGCCCCTTGCACAGTTGTCAGTGCAAGCAAGAGTAAGCGTAGTAGGAGATCGGGGGTGAATTGAGGCTTCTTATGGCAGAGGATTGATGACAGTCAGAGCAGGGTTCCACCGGTTTGAGGGGGGTGCAGCCGAACATTCAAACAGACGGAAAGTCGAAGAGCCAGCCGAACAGCCGAACAGGTAAATGTCCAAAAACTCAAATAGCCAAATAGCTAAAGATTCAAAGAGCCAGATCGCCAAACAGCCAAATAGCTAAAGATTCAAAGATCCAAAGAGCCAGATCGCCAAATAGCCAAATAGCCATGAAAACAGTCAAATGCTCAAATAGCGCAGTCCACTGGGAAAGTCCCATCTGCCTTGCGTTTGCCTTTAGAAATGTTGTGTTTCTCGCAAGAACTCCCCGACCTTATGGCCTGGGCTTTCTTGCTGGAATTCCACGACCTTGTGGCCTTGGCCCCTTCTAGGAGACATCAGTTCGAAACCTCTCTCTCTCTCTCTCTCTCTCTCTCTCTCTCTCTCCTGTCTCTTATACACATCTAGATGTGTATAAGAGACAGTGCGAGACCCTGGAGAGTTCAGAAACCGAGCTATGCTATGCACCATTTGCGTCATCGACTGAAGATGAAGTGGAAGAGTTGACGGAGAGGACCGAGGAATTGCAGTCGGTGTGATACCTGTTGTGGGAGACACCATAGTAACTTGGTTTTGGGTTTAGGGTTTCTCAGGAGATAAGGCAACCTTAGTGCTTTCACCAAGAAAATTTGGGAATGCCTTCAAGTTTCACGTTTTTCTGTGTGCCTGCACGAAGTGTGAAGCATTAGAGTTTCCGTAGACTACTGAGGGCGACAATTTTTTCTCACTGACCAACTTCGCTTTTACAACGCTCCCAAGGCCTGCCAATGGGGCGGTGACATTTTCGTATTGATTTATTGCTTCAAATCTCCCCAGACTGTCCTCCCTTACGCGGACCTTATGGTGCTTCCATGGCCGGCGGGCCGGCGGCCCATGCGACATGGAACCCGTGCAAAAAATGTCCGTTTGGTGGAAGATCGCGAAAGTCGTGTGCATGCTGACCATCGGTGTTGGGTTATCAGGGGGCCATGCGCTTTCTTCCGAAGAACAGTCTTGTTGCTGGCGTGCTGCTGGAGAGTGCCCGGGTTTTGATTCCCCCACACCCTCCACAATCCGATGACAAGTAATTGGAGTGGTCGAGCTATTTGATAGCCAGGGAAAGTCTTGCCCGAGAACGTTGCATCATTCTTGTTTGGAGCCCTCCTAGGCTCCCCTGGGTGCCCTCCGCGCCCCCCCCTTCTCCTCCTTTTTAGGTTGCTTTTAACACCTTTTTAGGTAATTTTGCGATTTCGTCCTCCTTGCTGTCGCAATATTATTTTTTCAATTTTGAAGACACCTTGAACTAACACGGGAAATTCTGGTTTCGTGCGCTCACCCAAAAGTCTCGGCCACGCCCGTACTCTGATCCACGTAGCGCCGTAGCCCACAAGGGTACCGAACACTGCGCAGGGCGTGAGGCTTGCACACCACCCTTGCACATGGAACGGAAGAGGTTCTGCCACTGATGTACCTCACCTTGCATGTGGGCCAAGGGGAGTGCAATGAGCTGTTATGTTTCAGCATGCGTTTTGCTGTCTAGATCCCATGCTTGGTCTGAGAACTCTGCATGTTTTTGAGGTTTCAATGTGGGTGTGTCCCGTATCCGCAATCCGTGAAGGTTTTGGGTTGTGAGAAGTTGTGTACTACCGTCTTCACCCGAATAGAACGCCCGGTGATTATCGCCATATCTGGGCTGAAAGTTGTGCCAAATACAGCTGCTATAATGACCGGGCGTTCTATTTGGGTGAAGACGGTAGGTACGGAGTTTCCATCTTCCTGTTCAAGTCTCAATGAGGGTCTTACCTGAACAGATTTTTCAATGTGTGTGTCGCCGTGTTCACAATCCGTGAAGATTTGGGGTTGTGCGAAGTCCTGTACAGTCTTGGGAGTTTTGTGTGTGCCGATCCAAGTCTCAATGGAGAAGCGGCTAACATACCCCTAAAATTTCAGCGTTTTTTCATGGTCTCTGATGCGCCTCCCTTTTCATCTTTCCCCCACCTCCAATCGAATGGCAGTAGTGTCTAAGGCCAACACTCTGCCACGCACCACACACAACCCACTCACACTCGCACTCACACCCGTGTTGGCCAAAGACCCTATCGACACCGATCAGCGGTATCTAGTGGACTATCACAGCTGGTTGGCACTACATGTGCCGCAGGCGGTTATGGGGCTTGAGCCCACGACCTCCTGAATGCCACTACTGACACCAATCAGAGGTATCCAGCGGACTCTCACAGCTGGTTGGCACTAAGTGTGCCGCAGGCGGTTATGGGGCTTGAACCCACGACCTCCTGAACACCACTTGCGTGGCTAACCAACTGAGCTGGGCGATTGAGTTAGCCGGACCCGCACTGGTGGCCCCACCCGGTCTCTGACTACTGCTGTGGGGGCGGGGGCCAACATGCACAATCCCTTCATTGTGAGGTAGCTACGCTTGCAGGGGTCCCCTCTATATAGCCTTAGTAGTGATGGTAGGTAAGTAGTGAAAGGCAAAAAGAATTTGAGAGAAGAATATGCACCAAGTAAAAGAAAATAGACAGCAGGAAATTTTTTTTTCTGAAATAAAAAATAATAAAATAGTTTGTCACCAAGCCATAGAGTGGAGTCAGTGGACAACAAGTAAACCAACAGCAGGAAAAAGAAAAAAAGAAGCAAAAGAGAGCCTAGAGGCTAGAACCCTAAGGCAAAAATGTGTTTTCAACTTTTCATGCAAAATTCACCCTTCACAATTTTTCACAATCTTGGGGGTGTCTTAGGGTTGCCAAAACAGTCATCTCCAAGGCTCCAACAAACACCAAACTTGGCACATAGCAACCTTGACATGTGGTTATCTTATTTCATTGATCTTTATTTATTTATTTATTTATTTATTTTTAAATTTTATTTATTTTTAAGGTCAATATAGATCTATTAGGGGCCTTTAGGACTTATATGTCCATTGAATAAATTTGCAAATTCAGTTTTCAACTTTTCATACCATATAGATTTAGATGTTTTGAATTAAAGCCAACCAAATGTCAGGCGGCCAATCAGACACTAACCCCGCTCCCGCATCCACGGGGACACATGGATGAGAGCATACATAAGTAAAGTAAGCTGAGTTTCTGGCTGGATGTTGTTGAACACAAATTCCGCGCTGAATGGGTGAATGTGCGTGCAACCTGCGTTGAATCCGCGTTCCACCCCCAGTTTGACGCAGTAAAGCGGACTCTGCGGAAAGCCACAGAGGCGAACTGGGGGGGTGTGCGGGGGTTCCAAGTGGCTGGGGTTGTGGAGGTGGGGGGTAGTTGTGCACCCCCAATGCACTTTTTTTTTATTGTTTTTCAAAATACGAAATAAAAAAAAATAAAAAACAACGGGGTCTAAAACAGGAGTGGGTGGGCAGCAATTTGACTCACCCGCATGCCCAGTACCGCTGGGGTGGGTTAAATGTGCACGCCCGCACGGTCCGCACTGTCGGGGTCCTGTTGGACTACAGGGATTTATAGGAGGTTATGATATTTAGGGCTATAAGCAAGGTATAGGAATTTCTAGGACACCGGGCGGTAGACGAGGTGGAAGGAAGGATGGTGTTAAACTTAGGCATGTCGGAACTGGAACCGGTTTGCATAGTATGTGCCCTCAGCGCACCCGGGGAATGGAGGGCCTTCAGTCTTTGAAAACTTAGTCCCAGATACCTGCAGGTATGCCAGTCTAAGGCGGCACGCCCATCAGTCAGGGCGTGCCGTATGTCGGTCGCATTATCTTATCTATAGAGATTGGTGGAAGATTGCCGGGAGTAGGATTTGAACCAATAATCATTGCAGGAGACTTCAGCACGCCCCCTGACAGATGGAGGATAGGTGGAAGATCCCTGCCCCACCCCCACCATACATTGAAGAGGATGAACGACTGATTCAAGGCATCGGCTTTTCATTGAGGGTGTGCGATACATTCCATAAGCTATGGAATTCGGACACCCGTTATTACTCACACCTTAGAAATGTCCGCACGGGACACTGAACAAAGTCACGCATTCACTTGATTTTGATGTCTGATGATTTTGAAGCCTCGCTGCTTCGTGCAGCCGTTCTGGCCCACAGCCTGTATTGGCACGACAGAAGAGAGCAGATCCACAATGAAATGGACTGGTTCAACTGTAAGGAGTCTTCCATGCAACTGCCGGCA